TGAGGGACTCACCACCACCCTGACTCCCATACATGCCCAGGACACCATGCCCAGAACACTGACCTCTGTCACCCAGCTCAATGAACAGCAGTGCCACCCCCAGGATTCAGCCGGGGCTCTCCATGGCCTGGTCCAGGCTGCAGGAGACAGGCCCTGTAGCCCAGGGAGGGCTCGGCCTGGGATACTTTGAGGTCAGGCTCATGGTGGACCCCAAGCCCAGCTCCCGTGGAGGGTGGAACCCCACTCCTGTTGTGGCTTTGGCAGCTGTTCCCTACCCTCCTCTAGTGGGTCCAGAGGACGGGGCAGGTGGGTGGCCTTCCTCCCCACTGTCTGTAGACCTTCTCTTAGCCCCTCTTAGCCATCCCAGCAAATCTAGGGGAAGAGAGCCCTCCCTGCCCTCAGAAACGTGTCCTGTCCCTCCCCCACCTGCCCCTCCATAGACCAAGGTCCTCTCATTTTCTCTTTGCTAACCTTAGGAGCCAGGCATCCTGAAGCCAGCGTTCCTCAGCCTAGGGCGATTCTCCCCAACCAGGGGACATTTGGCAATGCCTGGAGACATATTTCGTTGTCATAACTGGGGAGGAAGGAGTGTTGCGGCATCTGGTGATAGAGGCTGGAACTTGCCCCCACTGCCTGTGGGGTGCTCTGCCTGGGTGTTCCAGTGGGCGCGCACCCTTGGCAGTCCCAGGCTTGGGCTCAGCATCTTCCAGAGCCCCCAACCCCAGCTTAGCCCACACTAGTAGCTCACTCTAGCTGTTGTCCGTGAGGGAGCCCCATTAGTTGGTGGGGTTCACCATCAGAGGCTTAGATACTCCCATATTTAAGTTTGCTCTAGGTACACAATAAACCCGCATGAGTAGAGCAGGGTTAGAGAGGAAGGGTCAGCTGAAGACTAAAAGCAAGGCCAGATCAAATCCATGATGCGATGAGCCCGGTCAGGACAAGACCAAATCCATGATGAGATGAGCCCGGTCAAGACAAAACCAATGCCAGATAAAGACCAGGACCACCAAGGCCTAGGCTGCACCAACCAAGGGCAACTAATGGCTGTGATGGGCATCAAGGCTAGCAAGACAAGGTCAGGCCTAGGCATGGCCGTGTTTGCATGGATGCACGACAGGTTATAGGATTTCCTGTAGCCTTGCTGATGCCTCTTGGCCCATTAGTCTGTGGATGTTTTAGCCCAATTATAACTTGAATGGAAGGCACCCCACGCACACTGCAGAGTGAGTCCTGTGGTCTCTTCCTGCAAGATCTTCTCGCAGGCCAACTGGCCGTGGGGACTCAGGATGCAGCTGGGGCTGCAACAGTTTTTGACTTTAGTTGCAAATGTGGTTTGTGGATACAGCTGCTAATTAGGGAGTGAGGCCCTATCTGTCTACAGATGAAAGGACAAAAAGCATGATGGGAACTGTAACTGGGAGAAGTGATCTGGCCCAGCAGTTTGAGGAAACGATTCTGATGTGAGAGCGTTTGGATGCTCCCATGTGGAAGCGCTGGTTTCGATGAAAGGTGAGTAAGAGTGGGTGTTATTCTCCATTACTGACTCTTCCTGGGATATGTGGTTGCAGACCCCCACCCCTCTCAGTTCTGGCCCCTTCCCCACCCCTGGCCTGAGCAGCAATGAGGCAAAGGTGAAGGTGGGCCTGGGCCTGGGGGCTGCAGTCGAGGCACGACTGTGTGCATTCCTGGGTGGACTGAGGCTGCTGGACACTGATGCTCCTCCCTCCAGCTCTAGTCTCCCTGTGTGGAAACAACCACCAGGAGACTCTGGGGCAAGAAATGCACACGCGTGTCTGGGCCCAGGGAGACACACGACGGTTATCAAGTTTCTCCTTTGTTCTTTTCTAGGTTTTCCAAGTTTCTACAATGAAAGAGAATTATGTTTGCAACCCAAGAAAATAAGAGTTTTATTAAAGATACAGTGTTTTAAAAAAGCCCTTGAGTGTGAGACACCAGCCAGTGTTGCCTGTCTGGGACCCTGCGGCTGGGACTGCTGGGCCCTCCCCTCCCCATCAGGAAATGACTCCCAGGCATACCTGCAGATTTGGAGGGGGTGGGCGAGTGTGCAGAGACCTGGGAGACTCTGGCTCTGAGAGGATGCTCCGGAAACGCAGCCAGGGGGCCCAATGGAGTGTGCCCCCTTGGGGTGAGGGAGGAGTATGTGGGATGATGGGCACTGCTGAATCCAAAATGTTCAGATCACAAAGTTCTTGATGCATCCAGGAGGCAGCGTGGACAGGGAATGAGATGGGAGGTAAGTTCTGAGTGCCTACCTGTGCCCCACATCCTTGAGGAAGCCCCAGATCCTTTCTGGTGGACGTCGCCCTACCATTTCCCAACCAAGGACATGGGTGGCCAGAGCAGTGAGGTGGGCAGTCTGAGACGAGAGCTTGCGCTCAGAAACGCTCTCTCCTCCTGAATGCATTCTCTGCCCCTGATACCGCTGGGGAGTCAGAGGAGCCAAGGCTGGGAAGTCTCCTCCTCCGTTTATTATTTCTTCATTCCTGCTTGTCAGTGTGGACCTGTGGATTCCTACCTCGCTCAATAGGCTGGGATCCATGTCTATCACTGTGTATTTTGATACTCAGGTTATTCCAGATTTGCCTCCTCTGAGTCCCTTAAATCTGGCCTCTGGATTCTTTTGCCATATCCCCGTCATGCATAGAGTACTTCCTGGCTTTCTGGCCTAAGAAATGTTCCAGGCTCATCCTGTTCTTTCCCTGGTCCAGCCCTGGGTCAGCCATTTCTCCAGGGAGCCAAGTTCTTCCTAGGGGACAGTAGGTTCAGACACCCAACTACAGAAGTGCCCTTTCTACTGGGGGCTGCTGCTCCCAGACCCTCTCCGTGTGCAGAGCTCGGAAACATAGTCGTTCACCCCTCGACCTGTGCAGGGACTTCCGTGTCTCCATCCCCTGAAACCAAGAGTTCATGCCAATCTTCATGTGACCTAACACCAGTGGCTTCTCTCCAGCTTTCCCCTTTCCACATTGCTCCCTCTTCTCTGACAATGAGAAGCCAAGCTCCCACTACCCTGAGTGTATTGCCTATTTGCTCAGTCCCCCTGTAGGTAGAAAATCTCCCATCTCCCCTGTTATGGATTGAGTTGTGTCTCCCCAAAAGGTCTATCCAAGTCCTGACCCCCAGTACCTGTGAATGTGACCTTATTTGGAAATAGGGTCATTGCAGATGTAATCGGTCAAGTTAGG